GTACTTCCTGTGGCTCCCACCGTAACGGCCGCGAACGCGATGGATGCGTCAAAACATTCAAACGTCCAGTCATGACGTCCTACAAACGATGTTGACCGGTTTATTCTTAGCAGGACGTACTGAGGTAAAGTTTTAGACTGCGGATATTTCTTTGGCAACGTCGACAGGCCCGGGCAGCTAAATATGCACAAGCGGCCATCCCGCCGCGCGCGCTCGGGCTCGGAGGGCGCGTCTGACAGGTATAGTATGTTTATTTCCTAATATGGTATGTCTTGTAAGCGGGTGTAACCTGACCGAGTGACAAATTCTGCAATCGGTTGCCATGTCGAAGGCCATTAGACTGCGGGCGCGACGAGAAAAAAATGACAGAATTACGTATATTCGGCGCGCTCGTCGGAAGTGAGCCGGCTGCGAGCATGCTTGTGCCAGAACTGTGTGCCGCGCCGTGAGAGACCCGACAGTGACCTGCTCAGCTCACTTGAAGACCTGTTTCTGCAAAGTGGACAGTAGAAAAGCCGGGGTTGGTAGAGGACAAAGCCAATCAATTTGTGACGTACATATCTGGTGACATGCGCAGTGATCATGCCAGTGATATTTACCCCAAAGTTGGCCCAGGATGGGAAGATCGGAGTAAAACCACCAGGCTTAGGGCGAGTGGGCGTGGGAGGATGCCGGGAACAAGTCTCTTTCTGGCCCAATCTCGATGCAGATATATGCAAAAACAGTATGCTTTGCTCATCGAAACACGTTTCGTGTCTTTGCCGCGTCGGAACGTCGCTCCCAATGAGGCCGCCCCCGTTGCGATCGCCAGGCCCAATTTTGGTCGCTTTGGCGCAACGCCCGTCCTTCTTCAAAAAGGCGCGAGAAATTATGTTTCTCTCCTCCTCTTCCTTCCGCTGAGGTCTTCACAGGAGACGTTTCCTCGCGCTGATCCCTCATTGCTCTCTCTAAAACGTGGCTGTCTCCCCCACTAATCCCTGATACACATTGCTACGTGCTGGAGGACGCCAGGCGTCTGTACCTCCCCTCGCCGTAAGTATTCCCTCACACATATATATCCGTCTAGACACTAGAAATGTGGCGAACTCCTTCATGCCAGTCCTCAACGTTCCTCGACACCTCCGGCGTCCGCCTCTACTCAGAGCACCCAGGGCGACCCGTATAATGCCCAACGCTCCTCCGCAGCTCGTATTCAGCAATGACATTGCCCAGATGGACGAATGGGCGCGGCGTACAGGAATTCCTCTCACCACTGCTGAGGCACTCGGCACCAACTATGCGCGGGCGCGTCGTTGGATGCTATCTATCCGGACGCAGTTGGTCCAGAATCTAGGATGGCGAGATGTAACACCCTTGGATCCTCGCCTCCTGCTCGATATCGAATGCCCGTCGCCATATCGTTCAGCGAATGGCCTTCCCCGCAGTCCCAATTTGCGCTTGCAGATTCCCGCAAATGCCTCTTCCTTCTTTTCGCGAGAGAGACGCGTGCAATGGGAAATGGTCTTCCACAGTGCACTTTTCCCCGGCATGCGTCATACGGTCCCTGCTATTGGAGATCTCTTGCATCTCCTCCAGTGCCTTCTGACTGGCATGATCGTTCTTGTCAAGGAGGAGCAGGTACCAGGAGTAGGTTTGGAGAGGACGATACGGGCGTTGCCCCCTGTCGAATGGGTACACTCTCATGAAGCAACACTTACAGAAATCCTCGGACCCACGCACTTCCGTCAGCTTTTTAAGGCTGCTGGTGATAATCGCATTGCCTTCAAGCTCGAGCGCGACCCACGACGATAAATGGACGTCTTGCAGTGGGTCACAGAAAAGATCCCGCCCGATGTGGCTGTTTCCAAAACTGTGCGCGCGTCGATCTCCTCGGAAGGAGCGAAGCCTACAACCGGGTACCTCATTCCCGTGCGACTTTATCTTATTCTAGAATCCCTACCAACATTACGCATCGTTCGTACTTTAATTCTTGCTACGCGCCTAATCGTTCATTTGCTGTGTATATTCCGCTCATCGCTGTTGTGCTTCGTTCACCCGCTTTTGACTTATGCTATATTAATCCTAGTCGTTGCATAGAGTATCTCTTGTTCCCACTTATCTACATTATTCGCTCGTCCCTGACACTGCAACTTGATGCATCGCATAGCTTATTCATTTCTAGCACGTATGTATCCATGTAACCTGCACTTTCCGACACCTAAAGGCTCCCGCTGCTTAGGATTATAAAAATACTACCACTAATGATATTCATTGCCTACAATCATGTATCTTCCTATCCTCGAGCTATTCATGACTATGATATCTCCGCTGCCATTAGATGCGCCCCAGTGGCCTGTTCTCACTAGTGTCGGTGTACCGGTTGCAATACATATCGAACAGCAAGGAATCCAGTATGCCGCCTCTTTGCGTGAACAATCGTCTCAGAAGATGCATGGGAATAATTGTGCTGAGTATTGGCCCATCAGGTCTCTGGTTTGTGGCATCAAATGTACGTCCCTATGGTATAACACACATGAACTTGTTGCGACTCGAGATCCGAGGTGACATGGGCGGGTCCGAAGTCCAAAATCTAAAGCCTGGATTTAAGCTTCAAGCTTCAAACGGTTTGCGGTGTTTAGGTCATGGGGTTGCCTAGGGAGCCGTTGATGACAATGTTTTATCGTTTCGTAATGGACGACGACTGCATATACCATCTGAGCGTGTTGTGATCCTATCTCAAGCTGACAGAACATCGATCGGTGCAAATAAGCTCCATAAGAAAAATAGAGAGGATGAGTCTAGGTAGAGACTTCGGATGCAGATTGCTGCTGAAACTGGACTTGCTTCGGCCAGTCGCGACTCGGAAGTCGGAATTCGAGTCGGCGCACTCAAGACACGTCACACGTGACCTCTGTGACCGACTCGCGTTGAAGCCTCGGATCGGGCAGCATGCTAGGAAGCGAATTCTCTCGAGTCGTACTGCTATAGGGCGTGGCCTCTCCTCTTGTTGACTTGACTCATCATGGACGATCCTCCTAAAGAGGAGGATTTCAACGCCATCCCAGTGCTCGACAGACTAGGCCACAAGAACTGGAAGGCCCGAGTCAGCGCATACGAGACTTTGGTCAAGACATTCCAGACGACGGCATCCGATTCCGATCCCGCTTTCAAGCCATATATCAATAATCCGGACTTGTTGAAGAAGGCAGTCACGGACGCGAATGCTGTGGCACAAGAAAAGGGTGTTGAGTGCGCAATCGCCTTTGTCAAATTCGCTGGTGAGAATGCGGCACGGACAAGAGAGGTTATCGTCCCTGCTTTGGTGGATAAATGTTTCGGATCGGCGCGTGCAGGGACTAGGACACAGGCAATCGAACTTGTCCTGCAGTTTGTGGAGGTTGAGAATAATGGTACAGGCGTGGTGGTACGCATGACTCCAATCCCTCGTGCCCACTGATTCACAGTCTACTAGGATGGTATTATACCAGGTTTAGTGGCCAAGCAGCCTAAAGTTGTGGCAGGTTGTGTTACTGCTCTGAAGGAAATGGTTCGGTCAGCATTTCCGTGCTCACCAAACATCTTCCCTGCTTGACCAAATCCTGCATACAGGGTTTTCGGCACTTCTGTAATACAACCGGCCCCCGTCCTCAAGACGTTGCCGAAGATTTTTGCCCATACTGATAAGAACGTACGATCAGAAGGGACTCAACTGACTCATACTCTTTATCAGTATATTGGTTCTGGCATCGAGCCTTGGTTGGCTGATTTGAAGCCAGTTCAGGTAAAGGAACTGAAGGAGGCCTTCGAAGGGATGGAAAAAGACGGGAAAGGGAAGGGGAGTGTGAGACCAGAGCGCACGACGCGGGCTGCCGCAAGGGAAGCAGATTCCGATGCTGCAATGGGCGATGCTAGCGAGAGCGTCGCTGCCGTTGAAGAAGGTAAGTGCATTGTTGCCACATACCCTTCAGCTACTTGGGCTGATATGCAGACGCAGCTCCACCAGATCCGCGTATGTTCGCAGAGGAGGTCAACATCATAGCGAAACTGCCGCAGAACCTTCAATCATCTCTTACCTCATCAAAGTGGAAGGAGCGCAAAGAGGTGCTAGATGATCTACTCACTCTATTAAATGCCACACCTCGTATCAAAGAGGCGCCTGAGCTTGGCGATATCGCCAAGTCCTTAGCCACTTGCGTGCAGAAGGATGCGAATATAAATTGTGTCATGGTTGCGGCCGGTTGTATAGAGGCGCTTTCCAAGGGAATGATGACCAATTTCGGGAGGTACAGGGAGGGTGTCATACCTCCCATGATAGAAAGGCTCAAGGAAAGAAAGACGAATGTCACAGATATCATAGGAAATGCGTTAGATGCTGTATTCATGACGGTATTACATTCCGTCTCCTCTGCGCTCTGTGCGATGAGCTCACCGGGATCTTTATAGACTACGTTGCCTGACGTATTGTCGGATATCCTCCCGGCTCTGAATTCGAAGAATCCTCAAGTCAAAGAAGGCACGCTCAAATTTTTCGCCCGATGTCTTTCCTCTTCCACTATTGCTGTACCTCCACAGCAGATGAAATCGGTTTCAGAGAGTCTGGCAGCTCTTCTCGAGGATTCGTTTGAAGGAGCTCGCAACGAGGCCGCTAATTGTCTCGGAACGTTGATGAAGATGGTGGGGGAGAGACCTTTGAATGCTTTAATGGAAGGTCTCGCGGATGTCCGGAAGGCTAAAGTCAAGGAGGCGTACGAAAAAGCCACGATCAAAGTTAGGGCTGGCGCTGGTGCCGCTCCGAAGGCTCCCCTGCCGGCGACAAAAGAGCCACCAAAGAAAGCATCCACAGCCGTGAAGAAACCAGAAGCGTTGAAAACCGCGAGTTCAGTGACGGCTCAGATTGAGGAGGATCTTGAGGTAACTGAGAGTAAACCATTGAAGAAGCCTCCAGCGCGACTGTTGGTACGTATGCCTCCGATCTTCCATTTGCGCCATCACTGAGTTTCCCATAGGCCAAGAAAGCGCCTACTGCAGATGCAAGTGCATCGTCACCAGGAGGTTCCGCGCCGTCTACTACAGTTGCTCCCAAGAAGCCTCCGGGTCCAGCAGGTTCGAAGCCCGTGAAGGCTACACCACCATCACAGCCAGGTGCATTGGATACATTCAAGTTCAAACATACGCCTGAAGATGCGGAGGCCTTGGCAGCGGAGGTTATACCAGGAAATTACTTCACAGATTTGGCAGATTCGAACTGGAAGACTAGATTAGCCGCTCTTGAAGAGATGACAGGCTGGGTAGAAGGTGCTGCCCCTGGTCTGGATGCGGAAGTGGTGGTCCGATTCCTAGGCAAAAAAGGGTGGGGAGAGAAAAACTTTCAGGTGAGAGTTGTGAGTTGAGAGCATATAACCAGTCAGTCCTGAAGAACCTGTTAGGTATCGGCCAAGCTGTACGGCATCCTCAACATTCTAGCCGAGCATTGTCCATCGTTTGGTAGATCGTCGGTAGCACTTTGCATTCCTCATCTCATCGAGAAATTGGGAGATCCGAAATTAAAAAAGCCAGCTGGGGAGGTGCTTCTTATGTTCGCGGAGAAGACTTCACTTCAATTTGTATTGGGTCATGGTATGAACTCTTTCCTACCCCAGCGAGTGGGCAGCCGCTTACTTCTGGTATATTCCAGCATACGACCCTCTTTTGAAGCAGAAGGCGCCTAAAGTCCTAGCGGATGCCGTCACTTGGCTTGACCAAGCATTAACTGAGTTCGGCATCGCGGGACTGTCGTTGCGGAGTCTTATTGAATTCCTCAAGGGCGCATTGAGGAACTCGAATGCTGCTGTGCGTACCAGTGCGACTAGAACACTCGTAACGGTGAAGCTGTTTGCTGGATCTTGTAAGTAGTGACAGACGCCGATAGTCTTTTGCTCACATCTAGATACAGCTATAAAGGATCTCCTTGAGGACCTAAATCCTCAACTTTTGAACACTATATATACCGAGTTCGACAAAGTAGAGGCTACGGCAGCGCCGGAACCGTCGAGGACTTCGGCAGATGTAGCTCAGGTTTTTGTCAGTGCACCAGGCAAAGGTGCTAATGGTACATCTGCTGACGCATTGGACGACTTGTTCCCACGAGTCGAGCTCGACGGGTTGCTCAAAGGCACCACAATCCTCACCGATGCCAAAAGTGATGCCTGGAAAACAAAGAAGGAAGGACTTGAAGCTTTGCAATCTCTACTAGACCAGGGTGCAAATAAACGGCTCAAACCCACTATGGGTGCGTACTATCCTTCATGACATCGCCGGTTTGAGAAGTCATTTCTGTAACCCGTAGGCGAAATAGGACAAGTTCTCAAAGCACGAGTGACAGATACCAACAAGGTTGTGCAAGCCCTAGCATTAGACATCGTTGCCCGCGTTGCGACAGGAATGGGAAGACCGTTTGAGAAATACACACGGCTATATGCCCTTCCGGTCGCGACTGTGTTGTCGGATCAAAAGGCACCCATCCGCGCAGCAGCTTTACAAACTCTGACGGCAATTGCAAATGCATGCGAAGTTGTGGATTCAATGGTCAGCGGCTTTGCCACAGCGTTGGAGTCATCCAATCCTTTGCAGAGAGCGTCTTTATTGAACTGGCTTGCTGATTGGTTCAAAGAACACGGCACGCACACTGGTCTGGATATATCTAGCTGGGTTGGGCCCGTTCTTGCTTGCTTGGATGATCGCAACGGTGATGTCAGGAAAGCTGCACAGATGTTATTGCCCACTCTTGTCGCGTCCGCTGGTTATGATTATGTCATGCATCAGACTTCTTCGCTCAAATCGGCGACAAAAGCAGCCATCGTTCCGATAATACAAGCTGCGCGGGCAGCCACGCCTGGGCAAGTAGAACCGGGGCCGAGGGATGCGTCTACTGCGCCATCCAAGATGCCATCTGCCCCCAAAGGAACTAATAGCAAGGGAGTGGCGCCGCCATCTCCCCATTCAACAGATGAACTTCTACCCGAAGTAGCATCAAAGGCTGCACCCTCAAAGCTAGCTGGCGTACGGCGTAGACTACCACAAGGTACTGCCACGGCTCGGCCCGAGTCACGATCAGAAACGCCTGTTGAGGCTGGTTCATCCCGGCTTCCAAGCAAACTCGGCACTGGGTTGAAGCGTCCCGGACCAGTCACTGGGCTTGCTAAGGTCGCACAACCATCAGCTACACCTGAACCCCTTCCATTCGTTGTTGGTAACATGGATGCCAAACGGGTGCGTCTGTCTAAGGACGCACAGAAATGGATCAATGAAGCTGGCCCGACGAGGAAGGACCTTGCAGAGCTTCTTCAACATCAGATGGAGCCCCACGCCTCTAAAGAAGTACTCGCTCTCCTTTTCAGTCACGACCATAATGCCGTGAATGATCACGTCTCTGGCTTGAACGTACTGCATGAATTTTATTCCGGAGTACAAGCGAGCGATGGGAAACCAGGGTATACGCTCGAAGAGCTGCAAGCAGTTGGTTTGGCAAATTCTGATCTAGCATTGAAGTACACTTCTATCAAAGTGCATGAACCTCAATCAAATCTAGTCCAGAAGTGTCTTGAGGTCGTTGCAACAGTCCTAGCGTTCTTCCAGAGTGTAGATTTCCAGCTTACAGACGCGGAGGCCCTGTGCTTCATCCCAACGGTGGTATACAAGGTGGGTCTTCGATTGTAAGGAGGCGAATGGGCGTGATTAACATGTTATCCCAGCTTGGTGACGCGCGAGAGCCTGTGCGGACTCGTGTATCGCATATTGTTCAATCACTGTCCAAGGTTTATGCTTTCAGCCGAGTATTCCAGCTTCTCCTTGAATATGGACTAAAATCGAAAGTGGCGAAGACTCGTCAAGGGACGTTGGACGAACTAGTTGGTTTGTTAAAACGATTTGGAATAGGTTCTTGTGAACCGGCTAAAGCTTTCCCAATGGTCGCCGCTATGATCTCCGACAAAGACCCTCAAGTTAGGAAGTCTGCATTGGGTGTTCTCAGGTGAGTGATAGCGCGGCAGTTATATTTCACAGTGATGTAACGGAGAATGGCAGTGAGGGTTATATTCTTGTCGGAGATTCAATTTGGTCATACGTGGGACATCTCTCTCCGAAGGATAAGACACAGCTGGAGGAACGTCTGCGACGTGTGCCTGGTGTAGGTAGTCCTGATAAAGGAGACGTTGCACCTGTCGCTACTCATGCTTCCCGGTTAGCAATGGGTATCCCGAGGTCTGGGTCTCCTGCTCCAGGTCCCACTTCTAGATTAGGTGGAATTCCTCGAGCAGGGAGCCCGTCTGTCGCCGGTCCCTCGCGCATCGGTCGACCCGTATCACCGTCCCCCACAGTTCGACCTGCCTCCCCAGCGCCTTCGCATGGTGCTCGACCAACGTCTCCGGCTAGGACTGCTAGGGTCGCAGGTGTATCACAGCTGCCTGGCCCATCGTCTCCTACTGGAATCGGTCGTCCAAAAAGCCTTCTGCCTTCCAAGCTAGGACCACCCCGATCTCGTTTGAACGACCTCCAGCATGTTCACCCCATTCCGTTGTCGTCGATAGCTGATGGGACTGGTCCCACTTTGGCATCTCATCAAGTCAACGGCAGTGATCGTTTCTTGATACATCCAGATGCTATGGAAGAGCCCGAGTCTTCACGTGCGGCAGGCGATATTACAGTTGTGATTTCAAGCATTCTCAGCAATGATTCATCACGCAGCGTCGATGCCCTTAAAAAGATTCAAAAAGTGCTAGAAGTCGGTCCTGAAGTGGGACCGTCGTCTCCCGCCTACCAAGAGCTTGCTGAACACACTGAAGGCCTTGTTGAAACCATCACGCTTCAGATGGCTCACGTTTTCGAGAGACTAGACGAGATCACTATACCCGAGAACTTCCGTTTGGCCAAGCATCTCATCCAAACTCTGAACGCTTTCTGCGATCATGTATTCCTTGCGGAGTCTTTGACAGTTGACATTTTAACGTCGTTGCTTGAAGAATTGACTCTGCGTCTTCTTCAAACGGACAACAGCTCAGACAATAAAGTAAAAGATTTATCAAGGTTCATTAACATGATCATCCTGCGATTGTTCGCCACGGGTCGGCGGATGTCTATTTTCCGGTATGTACGAACTTTTTAACTCATCTCGCTGGTTATGTCAGTATTCACTTATTTTCTGCACGGTAGCGCCCTGTTCGCCTTGTTATTGCAGATCGTTAAACCATTCCCGGCCAATGGGACGTCGCATGAGTCGCAGGAGGCGAAAGTTGCCGAATTGATACTCAAGTGTGTCTGGAAGTTGGCGAGGAACATCCCACAAGACCTTGAGAACCAGCTTCTGGACCCTGTGGAACTCTTTCCTGCCGTCGAGCATTTTTTGCAAACAGTACCGCCGAACGAATGGCGTGCAAGGGCCACGAATAAAGTTCCATGTGGTGACATGCCACTCAGAACCATCAAGGTGATTATTCAACATGTAGTAGGTAAGTTGATCGTCTCGTCTTCCAATGCGAAGTATCTTGATCTTGTCCATATGTTAGCACATCATGGCGATGAGGTTTATGATCTGCTCTCCGCATCTTTTGACGATCCCTCCGCAACTATCGTCTACCCATACGTATACCGAATTCTTAACTCATCAACGCGAACAGCCGCAGACGTCCCTGTGCGAGGTAATGGATCGGCACGAGAGGAGGGTACCCGGCAATCATCCCCTGCTTTCAGTCGGCCGATTTCTCCTCAGGGAACGTCATCTTCTGCAACGTCAGATCGTCGACCTCAATCATCGTCAAGTCATGCTAGAAGCCAGAGCGTGTCATCAACAAATGGTCACGGTCCGGGCATGTCCATGCCCACAGAAGAGCCTGATCCTGACGATCAGCTGAACGTCATAATTCAGCATATCTCGAGCGAGACCACCGGAGCAATGCATAAAGAAGGCATCACAGAACTGCATCAATACTTGAAGGCCTACCCGCACAAGAAATCAAAGGTAGACAAGATGCTGGAATCGACAGGTCCCGCTTTCCGGAAATACATCACGAGGGCGCTGGCAAGTCGAGCCGCGGAAGATGAGGAGCGAACAGTCGCAGTTGCCAATACGCTTTCCAGTAGGTCGGATTTATACTTGAGCCGATGCTGAAGTTAAACGACCTTGGCAGAATTAGAATCTAATGGCCGTGAACGGACCACGAGTTTCAGTCCGGGTGCGTGCCAATTGAACATAGATGACATTCTTGGTTTAAGCGGTATATGTACTACAGTCGTGGACACGAATCATACTGTCCCTATTTCGCCTACCCGAGGAGAGCTGTCACCGCGCTCACCACCACGATCTAGCGCCTCCGACTTGCCAGAAGGTCAACAAGAGAAGCTATCCCGATTGCACGACCTCTTTCAATATCGGTCGAGCATCATAAGTAATAGCTCGTCACACGGACGGTCGACCTCGTCAACGCTGGCACGAGGTGCGCCAGGTTGAGTGTGGCTGGTGACTTAGAGGCCGCTGGATCTGCTGTGTATACTGTTGTCATTAGATTAATGGGCCAATGTAAGAACACACCACATATATACCCACTGAGTACTACCGAGTGTACTGACTTTGAATATAAATGTATGTGCAGTCGTACTAATACTAGACTAGTCATCTACTTACCTATAAACATGTGTCATGACGTGCGATCTGGACTGACTCGGCGCCTAAGTGCCAAGCCTGCGCCCTGCATATTGCTCTGGCTGGCTTTCCTCTCCTATTATCTAGACAGCTTTCTCTCACGACTACTGTAACTGACTGTGACGACTATTTCTCTCGTTTGTATCTATATGGCGGCTCAAAAAGATGCATTACCGATGTCGAAGGACCTCGTCTACGAGGCCGCATTACTCTTCTGGCGAACAGTAGTCAACATATTCTTCCGCGAAATTCGACCAAGAGGCGCCTTTCACATTCCTCGTGAGGGTCCTGTCATATTTGTAGCAGCTCCTCACCATAATCAAGCACGTACATCTTCTTCAGATCTTACATAGAGGTACTGACTGCCGTGAGGTCAGTTCCTTGACCCCCTACTCCTCAGCCTCGAAGTGCACCGCGAGACTCGAAGAAAAGTTCAATTTCTTATCGCAGCCAAAAGCATGAAGAGAAAAGCCATAGGGTTCTTTGCTAGCATGATGTCAAGCAGTATGTAACTCATTTTTTTTGACTGACACCTCCCAATTCATCTACGCCCGCATGTAGTACCCGTCGTTCGCGCTGCAGATGATGCCAAATCTGGTACAGGACAAATATCCTTGTCGGACGATGATGCTTGTTTGGTTATTGGTCACGGAACTAAATTCCTCGAAGAATTTTCACCGAAAATGCAAATTATGCTACCAAATTCTGTCAATTCGGCTGTCGCCGAAGTTGTTGAAGTGCTTTCGGATACGCAACTACGGATTAAGAAGGAATTTGGTGGTGACAGCGGCAAGGGCACTGCACGCATCCGTGAAAAACTCAAGGAGCTTCGGTCTGGAGGCAAATCAGGCCTGGACTTCAAGAAAATGCCTCATGTTGATCAACAGGAAATGTACCATTATGTCTACAAATGTCTTACGGAAGCGGGTTGTATTGGTATTTTCCCGGAGGGTATGTTTCTGCCGGTATGTAGCAATCTGGGGCTCCTGACGATTCTCCTTAGGAGGCAGTCACGACCGTACCGATCTTCTTCCTCTAAAAGCCGGCGTATCGCTTATGGCATTGGGGGCAATGGCAAATGACCCTAATGTCAAGGTAAAAATTGTACCCGTAGGATTGTCCTACTTCCATCCACATCGGTTCCGTTCTCGTGCAGTCGTTGAGTTTGGCACTGCCCTTGATGTGCCTGAAGACCTTTTACAAATGTTCAAAGAGGGTGGAGCGCAAAAACGACAGGCCGTCGGCAAATTGTTGGATTACATCTACGATGCGCTGAAGACTGTCACTATAAGGGCGCCGGATTATGACGTACTGATGGTGAGCGTGTGATGATATTTACATTTATCTCACATGTACTGAATATCTCGATCCCGTATTGTAGCTGTGTCAAGCGGCGCGACGATTGTACAAGACACCCGGGCAGCACCTCACTCTAGGTCAAGTAGTTGAACTGAACCGCCGATTTCTCGAAGGATATCTGCACTTCAAGGACGAGCCAAAAGTAAGAAAGCTTCGTGCAGATGTGCTCAAGTACAATCGCATGGTACGGGACCTTGGTTTGCGTGATCATCAAGTTTGTAGCTTTAAAAAACTCTCGTCTCGCTAAATTTGACAATATCCCACAGGTTCCTCACGCTCAGAAAGCAAGCTGGAAAACGCTCGGCCTTTTAGCCTATAGACTAGGCTTGTTGATAGTATGGACGATACTAGCCCTTCCGGGCGTAATTCTCAATGGTCCCATCTTTCTCGCCGCATCTATCATTTCACGGCAAAAGGCAAAAGGTGCGAATATGCGTTGAACTGCTTTCTGAGTGCTATTTATGAGTCGCTCCCAGAGGCTCTAGCTGCGTCCACGGTGAAATTGGCCGGAAGAGACGTATTGGCCACATGGAAGATACTCATCTCCCTTGGTTTTACCCCCATTCTTTGTATCTTCTACGCATTTCTTGCTACCGTCGTTTCCATCAGGGCCAATGTGCCTCTCGCGTGGAAGATTTGGACACCAATCTTGGTCATATTGACTCTTCCATTCGTCGGATACGCTGCGTTGAAGTTCGGCGAAGCCGGAATGGACGTTCTCAAGTTAGTGAAACGCATATTTTCAGCATAATACTCATTGAACAGGCCTGTTGAGTCAGATCTCTAAGACCTTTGGTAGTTACGCTGGCGCCAGGCCAGTCGCGTTCGCTAGACCAGCTCAAAGCAATGCGCGCGAAGGTCTCGAATGAACTTGCGGAGGTGATTAACGAGTTTGGACCCAAGCTATACGATGACTTCGACCAGGTGGATACTTTTTTTCGGGATTAATGACAGGCGAATTGACAACTTCCGCCGTTAGCGTCGAATACTAGTGCCTTCCGCTAGTGTTCCCCCGTCATCGGGTCAGCCTGGAATTTGGCGACGTAAAAGCGGCACAGGTGGTATCGACGCACAAGGAAATTTATTAGTACATCCGATGGTAAGTACTCATCGGCTCTAACCAACAAACAGGTTTACTCACGTCGAGTCCAGACGTGGCTAGACGAACGTTTGTTTGGTTGGAGCCGTAGTGCATCGCGAGGAACCAGTGCGTGGTCAGGATCACGTAGCCAGGACGTCAGCAGAGCAGTTACCCCGGAGGCATCTGACGATGAGGGCGACTATGACAATGTGCTGGGGTATCTCGAAGGTCCCAGTACGTCGTCTCGAAGCCGCCCTCGGAGCCAGCAAAGTTCGTACGCAAATCTGCAGAAACTTCGAAGTGGTGCTAGTTCCCTCCCTTCTCTCGCGATGACAAGTGGCGCAGAAGCAACAGATACAGAAGGTCTGCAATTCCGTGCACGCACCGGATCGCGATCCAGGAGAGCTAGCCTGAAGGATACTGTTCCTGTCACGCGACTGAGCGAATTGGATAGACAAGAAAACTTCAGGGATGCCACCGAAAATCTCAATCATGAGATTGAGGAAAACCGGGACCACGATGATCACTAGCTATCATGTTCATCATTTTTATACACTTGTCTCGTGCAACACTGTCTGCTGGTTGTGCTCCATTTTACACCGGCAGCAACTGTACAATACTCGATCTCATTAATGTCAGATGATGATGCAGCATGAATACCAAAGTGAGCGTATCCTAATCATATAGATCTGCTCGTCTTTGTCCTGCAGTAAGAACTTCTACACCAGTTTCGGTGATCCTGTGGATTATCTTAAACTCCGCTGGAGCTTCAGGTACTAAATGTCCTTACAGTAGAGTTTCCTCAAATTGTGCACTGCGCTTCCCATCCAGTGTAGCCGCAGTCCAGTCATCTGGCCAGTGTGTCAGATCCCAGTTGGAGCCTAGGTTTACCATCTACAGAACAATGACAGTAAGCCAGGGCCAACACTATGGAATGGAACTATCTTACCGGTTCAATTGTGAATGCCTATACCACGTCGTCGATAAAATTTATTTACATGTGACTATCTCGGAAAGGGCGTACCATGCCAGGCTTCATCGTGCCAACAGACTTATTCTTGGCATAATGCGGCACGTTGGGCGCACAGTGGAAGAGGTCATTGATGCCGTGTCCGCAGTACGTTCGAACAACAGCACATCCATTCGCACGAACAATGGGCTCGCTGGGAATCCCCAAAGGATACGTCAGCGTAGGATGTAGGAAACGACTGGGAAGGAGTGAGAAATATACGCACATTGTTTTTCCGAGGTCACGGAACAGCGCACCTGGCTTGCAGAGTTTTATTGCCGCATCAAGCGCCTGACGTGTAGTTCGAATAAGCTTCATGGAATCATCGTCAATCTTCCCGACGGGATATGTCTCATTAAGATCCCCATGGAATCCTGTCGATAGGGATTCATATGGGGAATGCTGGCGTGAAAATCGTCACGAACCATCATAATAGAGTGTCACATCTGCAAGAGGTCAGCTTTCAATGCACTACTCAAATAATGTCTACTTACCAATATTGATGATATCGCCTTCTTGCAATTTACGTTTATCTGGAATACCATGGCAGATTACCTCATTAATGGACCTTATACGGGTCATATCAACATCATAGGCATAGTTATGTGCAGGGATACATACGTGCAGACAGACTTCGGAAATCCACGGTAATTAAGAGGTGACGGATATGCGTTCCGCTTTATTGTCTCGACGTGCACTATCTCGTCAATCTCATCGGTCGTGATTCCGGGTCGTACGTGCGATGCTGCGATATCCAATACCTCCCGAGCTAGCTGATAACGGAGTGGTCAGACGAGTAGGTGAATTGGATAGGATTGCCTTGGTGGGGCATTACACAAGAAGGTAACACTTACCCTACAAACAGTCCGCATCTTTTCCTGCTCCTCAGGGCTCAATATCCTTGGTGGCTGACCGGCTCGTCTGTGCTCCGATATTGGGATGCCTAGAAGAAAAATGATCAAGATGGGCTCACAGAGTGGTTTTCACCTCTCGAAACAGTTTCGTAAGCGTCATACCATCTTCAACGTAGTCAGGCAATTGGATGTGATCTGGGACTTGTCTTTTCGGGGATAGTGGATACACCGGGCGGAGTGTACCTGTAAATCTAAAATTTCCGAAAGGATTGAATGATCCATCTACAGAGTTTACAGTCAGTTGAGAAAGAAGCATGATCGAATGGAGGTAGAATACCTCTATTGATGTTAGGATCGTCAAGGAGAGGTCGACGAGGCGTCGCAATATCATGTATCAATTTGTGTGTTTTCTACAACATAATCAGCTCCGGCAATCCGAGTTGTACTTGAGAAATGTTTACCCCTATGGGTATGTTCAAGGCTCTTAGATGCGTTGCCGACTGACAGAGAATTGGACTACCCACAGCCAGCTTTGAAACATTCTTGTCCACAGAAAAATGAACCTTTGATCCCTAACCTGGAAGCAGTCAGCTCGACGGGCGCAGCCTGAAACCCGACTACTGACTTGTGGCATGTTGGACATTCGAGACGCGATGGAGGGTGCCCATTAGGACAAAGGCTGCTTTGACAAGGGATACTAGTTGCACTCATCGTCGGACAACACGCGGGAATCACAAATCTCGAAGGTCTCCTGATGTTCCTAGAGTAACGGGCGCCTGAATGAGCGGCAAGTGCGTGATTTCCGAATTCATCCATTCACCGGGTCGAGGAGTCTTTGACAAACCTCGAACACCTGCACCTTCATTGTTCGATAGAAATATGAAGTCTTGTTTATCAACAAATCGCGAGAGGCAGTGGTGAATATGGCTATATCAAAACAAAACAAAAAAAGAACATTCTAGCAGTCTAATATACGAGTGCCCTAGCACGAAGGATGATTCATTTCCGATGACGAAGACCTTCCACTGGGATAGATGATTTTCCACTCAAAACCAACGCAGCGATCGCATCCGCGCGCAAAGTCTGGAAATCCGCGTAGGACGTCCTTTGACTGCGTATCCTCTTATTTCCCCACGACTTATAGGTCTCAAGGTAGCCAAGTATTTGATCATAATCACCTTCGTCTTCATCGTCAAACTCGTCAACCGATGATGAGCTGCTGATACCTTCGCGCGGCGTCCCAGATATACTTGTCCAATGGGATACACTCTTGCTCCACCCAAAAAGTCGCTCATCTAGCCAGGCCTTCTGACGACATCGGCGATCTACCATAATAATATGAAAAGTGAAACGTACCATAGGATGAACGAGCAAATGGCCCTGTGCATCTATTCCGCCCGTACCACTAATTCGACGCCAAATGCCTGGCCTCCCAGTTGAAGGTGGAGGACTAGAGGCAGGTACTAATACTTGATTCTGGGAATTCAATGTTGGTCAATAGTAACTGACAGAAAAATGGCGATTACTTCATCGAAATCGTCGTATAATAATGGTCCAAATTCGCGGACAACTTCTGCGAGCTCATTGGACACCTTCTCGCGCATGATCTTGAGCTGTTCCAACGAACGCGACTGTCCGGGAATAAGTGTGACAACAAGTGGTCTCAAGGATCTAGGAGCAATAAGCATAAACCACCTAGTTCTTTCGGCACAACCCACCTGAAAACATCCAGGCCAGCTTCGCCGAATTTCAACGCTGCATACGCGATGCACGGAAGGATAAACATAGTGAGGAATGGTGTCCAAAATCTCCACCAAAATGGCGCATTCGCTTTAATTGCAAGCATAGCAGCAACGGCTGCGTAGAATCCGTACAGTATAGGCGTAAGACCCAAAGATATTAATATCTTCCATGTGGCCAAAACATCCCGGCCAGCAATCTTGACAGTTGAGGCGGCAAGCGCCTCTGGATGGAGCAGAGAATATTGTAGATTGTCATGAATCTACGAGCGACTCACCTCTGGCTTTCTGCCGTGACATGATAGACGCAGACAAGAAAATAGGGGCATTGAGAATGACACCAGGCAATGCCAGGGTAGCCCACATCATGAGAAGACTGAATCTATACAGTAGAAGCCCTAACGTTTGCCAGCTCGCTTTTTCAGCTCGAGAAACCTGCGAAGGAGCTGTCAAAGAAAGGGAATCACTGATACAATTGGTCACAAACTTGGTGGTCACGCAATCCAAGGTCTTGGACCATACGATTGTATCTGAGGACATCGTCCCGCAGCTTTTGAACCTTCGGCTCGTTCTCAAAGTGAAGATACCCCTCCAGAAAGCGCCGATTCAATTCCACCACTTGCCCTAATGTAAGATGCTGCCCAAGGGGTTCATACAGTCTACGGGCGGCTTGACATAGCTTTCGAATCTGTTCAGTAGATTTGCTCACCTGACTAACGGGGACTTACCATCAAAGTATCGTAGTCTGGAGCCCTAATCGTTATTATCTTCAGTGCATCGTAGATATAGTCGAGAAGCTGGCCCACAGCTTGTCGCTTTTGAGTACCCCCTTCCTTAAACATCTCCACCAACTCAGGTGGAACATCAAGTGCTGCGCCAAATTCCACGACCACACGGGAACGAAATCTGTGAGGATGAAAGTAAGACAGCCCAACAGGAACAATCTTGACCTTCAAATGTGGGTTGGAAGCCATAGCGCCCAGAGCCATTAGCGAGACTCCCGCTTTTAGCGGGAGGAGATCGGTGCGATCGTGACTGCCACCTATAAGGATCAATAATTAGTTAAAACTATACGAGTCACCAGCTTTCCGGCACTGCCACCTTCCGGGAAGATACCAATGCAGCCTCCCTGAGTAAGTCGTTCATAGACATGATGATACATGTCTTGTTGATTAACATGAGGCATCAGTTTGAACTCGAAACCAGGCACACATTGAGCATGGAGCTCCTTCAGCTTCTCCATGATAGTGGGCGCGACTTTGCCGCTTTCTCCGCCGAATCTTTTCCTGATACGTAACTGAGTATCAGACATAATTTCAACGACCTCAGCAATAGCTGAGTTGACGGATCTGGGAAGCATTATTCGCATATTGGGACTGAGCTCTTGCAAAAATCGAGTGCCATGTCCGATTACTAGACAAGGATCGTGTTCAGATATTGATATTTTCCCAGTACCAGGTTTTGCGCCATCTACTGCTCGGGCGACAGGTACTAGCAAAAACGGTGAATAATTTGTTATTTTGAGAGGTGGGATGCATACTGCTCAGCATCATCCTCGCAAAGAAGCCAACAAACTTTCGCTTCATGCTATGGGCGGCCACCAAGAACGAGACCTTGCGGCTTGTTTCCCTGTGGACTTCCAGTCCGAGCAAGAGGTCAACGAACTATTCGACATGTCAATACCACATTGAGAAATGAGGAAAAATGATACGTGCTTGGTTATGATGCGGAGCGGCTACGAATATGACCGGCCCATCGCGAGGAATGTTAAAGGCACCTCTTGGTCTAATCTCGCGAAGAAATATGTTTAAGACTGTCCTCCAGAATATCACAAGAACTTCGTAAACCAGATCATTGATATTCGCGTGTGTTGTCAATACCATGGTGAAATGATCCGGGCACAGATGCGATTAGATGAAAGGAAAAGATACACCGCGCGCCGACCGCACTATCTCGACTCTCGAGCTCTCTCGAGTCGCTGGAGACGTGTGATGAGATCACGGTCATGTGATGTATACAGACATACAATTATATCTTGGGAAATATTGCTGATCGAACTGGGGCACTACGGCTTTATCCTTGTACAATAATCCCTCGGTTTAATGCGCTCAGCGATGATCCCCATATCTTCATCTACATGGTCAACAAAATAAGAGTGAATGCGTAGGTGTTCATGTATGCACCAATCCTTCATTTTTGCGTATGACCTCTACTGACTGAGGCTTTCCGACCAGAAGTCAATGATGTCTGAGATCACGTAAAGAAAAATCATTTGATGGCCAAAGCATGATGCATTTGCACTGTCTCTACAAGGCTTCATCCTACAATACTTATGCGGTGCAGGGAAGAACTCACGGACCCGGCCGAGCCAAAGCTGATGCGAGATGCCACTGGTCCTGGATTCGGTGGGCGCGCGGATCCAGACGCGTTGCTGCGCTTGTGGCTTCGCGCGTCCAAGGAAACCAGCCACTACATAAATATTAGCCTGTGATGATTGATATTGGCAAGCTGCTGCCAGCCTCCTTGTGATCCCTGAACCCAGACCGAGTGTACTTTACTCACCCGCTCTTCCATCTCTCTACGGGTATCCTTCTGCTTCATCTGGTGTGCATCGTGGCACGGAGATGTCAAACGGTCAGCGCTGTCGCAGGCCAAGCAGTAAGGTGCCACGCTGCAGTGCCCCTAGTGATGCGGATTGACCCGGACAGTTTCCTACTAACTCCACCGTGACGCATTCCGATGAGTACTTAATGATATGCGCCCCAGGTCTCCGAAAGCTCTTCGCATCCCGGTGCTTTGATCCCCCTGAATGGCGCTACCCCAAAGTGCGGACGTTCTCATTGTTGGCGCAGGTCCTACAGGCCTTACCTGTGCGCTATCCCTCCTCAACCAAGGATGTTCCAATATTGTGATAGTGGATCGTTTGCAGCAAGGTATAAATGCCTCCCGCGCGATCGTCATCCATGCGGCAACACTTGAGGTAACTTCGTGTGCTTATGAGGGGACAGTGACTAATAGATGTTATGTTTACTTAATTGAAGGCTCTCAATCGTATCGGCTGCGCTCAACCCGTGGTTGAATCAGGAAGGAGTGTGTCTTCTGTAGGATTCCTAAACGGTGGCAAATTCTATCGCAACAGTCGTTTTGACAAGTTGGCGCCCTACACCAAATTCCCCATGGCTCTCATAAATACCCAAACAGTCACTGAACAAATTTTAGAAAGGACACTTCGCGATCGTGGGGTAACGGTTCTGCGTCCATACACTGCGATCAACTTAAAGAGGAACGAGAGAGATGCACAAGTCACCGATGTATATTTCGAGGGCGGAGAAATCCTGCAGACACGCTGCGTAATCGGTGCTGACGGCGCGCGATCTATGGTATGCTGACGTCTCCTTAATCCGGCTCTGCAGAAGGATTCAGACTATCTCTACAGGTGCGCCAAGTAACTCATGTTGGCTTCACTGGCCTGGATGGCGAGGATACCGGGGAAGGAGCGACTACGTTCACCCAGATGATTATCGCCGACGTGACCTTTACAGAGCCAGTCCGTCCCGTCACCGACGGATTAGTGTTCGCATTGTCCCCTGATAATGGATGTCTGTGTGTCCGCTTACCACCGGCACCAGATTATCCGGAGAAAGAGGTGTATCGCATAGCGGCCGGTATTCCGTCCTCACTCGGAGTTCCCCCGCCTTCCCCATCCACAGAATATGTTCAGTCCCTTCTTGATGCATGGGGAACCGGTCTATTTTCTACGCCTGCTATTATCTCCAAAACGATCTGGGCATCGCGATTTAGGACCCATTCAGCCTTAGCAGACACCTTCTTCACGCACGTTCCAGTCACGCCTGGGGACCCATCTCCTGCAGGACGCGGCGGTGTGGTCATCCTTCTTGGCGACGCTGCCCATATTCATCCTCCAGTGGGGGGTCAGGGCATGAATCTTGGTATCCGCGACGCGATTTCGCTCGGGTCTGTCGTTGCTGCATACCTCAAGAACGAAGACACAAGTGATTCTGCAGCCGACGCTCCCTTACAACAGTGGGCCATTGTGCGGCGCGAACGAGCTATGACTGTGATCCGTTCGGTTCAGGGGCTTCTCTGGGTGTTGACCATACCAGATAAGACCACCTGGTTCCTTGGATTTATCCCAGTGAATTTATATTGGTTGCGGAATATAGTCATAGCTGCCATCGCGCGAATTGCCTGGGTGCAAAAAATGATAGCGTGGAGGCTGAGTGGATTGGCTTTCTCTGATTAAGATACTGTGGTTGATCTTCCAATATTCCCCTTCTTCTAATCAAATCTCCACTCAGAATGATTCCTCTTGTATTTTTGATTTTTCGTCATGTTGTACAAATGAATGGAGCATACGATCTCAACGGGCACAATCGAGGACGGTGTCCCAGCAGAATGGCACGAGGATGAGCCATCCAAATACCATGCGGGCCTCCTACTCTACTACAGTATCAAATTCAGCTCAGATCTTGAAGTGGATGACGGGAACTTTCAGATATCTGGTAACTACAGATATCAAATTTTGAGGTACAGAGGAATGCGTATCATGCTATCTACTCGCAAGAGCGGCTCCTACATCACCAACAATCTCTAACACGTCTATGACCCAATCTTCCAATACGATGGCTGCGGCCTTCTTACCTTCCTCTTCAGTCTTGAGTTGACGTGCTGCTGCTTCATCCCTTTCCTTGGTCATTCCGAGGTTGTGGTACACCACTGATATAAGGAATTGGACGTCTTGAAGTGAACGAAATATCTCAAGCGTGTTGTAATCTTTCTCAGCGATCTTGAGATAGGGCAAGCATTCCCTCAATGCTTCAGCTGTAGGAGGAATATTAATCATGGGGTCGGACATTGTGAGAGAGACTAACGCGATGAATCCCCCGCGGCAATGATACATCTTGCCAAGACGAAACACGCCAATGCTCTTTGCTCTAACTCACTTCCATCAATTACCTGCAGTATTTATGCATAATGAGCCAGCGGCCAGGAAACGGCAGGATAGTATCATCGCACTTGAGGCATGATCTCATCGATGATTCGCCGACACCACTTTGTCATGCCAAATTCGAGGCCAATATCAGCCAGCAAGATGATGGCAATCCTATACAAACTATAGCGATTCTGGAACTCCGCATGCCATAAGGCAGTAAGCAGTGACTCGATCCATGCATGTCCTTGATCAATTCCCTGGATTAGAAGTTGAAGAAGTTAGAGGAGAACGCCACGCGAGCAACACATTGCACTAACCCGCATTTGCATGACCTCATACAGAGGGTCACGAATCATGGAACCTAGAGACATTTGTGACCAGAACCAGTATTCTCTTGGCTTATAGGAACCATGTGGACGTCGTTGCTTCAGAAATTCTGCGAACTGGCGCTCTTGACGACTGCGAGTCCGATGGGTTCACGATTATGGAAAAGTATCGATGTGAAACTCACCGACGGCTGGCACGAAGAACGAGGATATGCCAGATTTCACTGGCCCACATATTATAGTGGACAATGCTAAGGCCTCGCCAAACATCAGGATCGAGAAGAATTGCGATAGCGTCCCGATATTTGCCCTGACGAGCTCGCTATAATCATGAGGCAGGGATGAACAAAAAGTATACCGAAAGAATGATTCTTCACTCACGTAGTATGCTCGGTGAAGCGTGACGACAACACGATTGTTATCATCGCCGCCGACTGTTGTGAAAGCAGTGACAACGTTCTCTTCTATGTGCGAGAGCCGAGTACTCCCTACAATGCGTCAATGAATATGCTATGCCTGTTTATACTGGCTGTCTGACCGTGCATAGCCCACACAATACTCTGCACAGCATGTTGTCCCCATTGCTCCGATTCCACAAATGAACCGTGTTGTATATCGATCCAATGGTCATACAAACCGATTGCCTGAAAAACCTTTTCGAAAGACGCCGATAGGGGTTGTTGCTACAACAGAGCGGCTTCCATGTGACAGTCAAAATACGCTTAGCTGATAACGCACATTACCGATTTGCACTAATTTCTGTACGTCGTATAAAACTTCGAGCGGATGCAGATCGGGTTGAATGTCGTTGAGAATCGGTTTTTGACCACGCTCAGTGGGAGGAAGGCGGTGCAGCATACTGCAAGCGGTCAAGCTCACTAGACTTCAATGAAAGCGTACAACCCACAAACCTCATGCAATGCTGCAGGGTAAGCTTGTCATTGCCAGTACGGGCAACACCAATTGCTTCTTGTAAGAACTGCAAAAGTAGTGCAATGCGGCTTTAAAAACGTTTGTCTTTGATCTATTAGGATACCATCACCTTCCGACAGGCCGTGTACTCGTGACTCATATAATGTTTTCGCGCAAGATTCAACAATGCATGCTGTCGAAGGCCCCTGTACATGGATTAGAGATAATTTGTGGAATAGTTGAATACACAAACGAATCGTTCTCTTCATGAAAATGTTGCTCAAAGAACCTCCGCAGATTCTCGGTTGCAGTGCTCTCGTCACCAACGGCCAATCCTTTCTCGTAGCTGTGAGCGTTCTTTTGTGTCAAAGATAGAAGCGGACTAAAGCTAAGCATTGACATACGCTGCGAAAGCATCAGTTGTGGCAAACGGCCTTTTATCGGCGTGAGTCTTGTATATTTGATAGTCTGATGGCTGGGTAAGCGTGAAGCAATCTCGGAATTTACGAGCACGAGCACCATTTGTCAGTCTATCCCTCTTGAAATTATGGTAATTATCCGAGACATTGGAAGCAACTTCTCCGATGTTCTGCAAGAGCCACATCCCATAGTCCTTTTGAAGTTTTGCGCGACCGGTAAATGATAGTTTAACAAAACTGAAGAAGCACCGTCTGCAAAAATAACCAAACAAGGAACGGCGAGTCTAAACGAAAATTGAAACGAGAGACGGATCAAACTCGACGCGTGAGGGAATATTGATGTTCAGACAAACTCACAAATCGAATATGATCCTACAGGCATTTCAGATGTTCGTTCCATAACACGGGTTTATGATTCTCACCTCCTCCTCATCTTTCTCAAGGAAGAGTTTAGGCACACCTAGCCACCATATTCAGCACAAATAGGAAGTAGCACTCCAAAACCAACCTCTAAAGAACTGGGACAGCTGTTCTGGTTTTTGCAGAATAAAAGGCTAAAACTGGTTAGATGAGAAGATTATGTTAGATACAGCGCCCACTTCAACAGCAAGGTCACGGCGGAACTTTTGTGGGCCCGGTTGATCCGCCATTGGACCCTTCGCAATCTCAGTGACGAGCTCAGCGAAGTTACGTGGTTTTGAGACCTAAGGTACTTATTTTAATGATTCTGGTATGGAATCAAAACCCACTTACCTCCGAGATCTCGTACAGAACGATACGGTAGACGTGAAGCAAGAAATCGGACGGTATCGGGCCAAACATCAGTCGCGGGCTTTCAGCTTGCAAGATCATCACAATAAGCCTTAGAAGGCTAAGATGATGGGGTTTTAAAACATGGATAGTAGAAGTTGGATCTGACATGGCGGGCTGGGGTGAACCTTTGAATAATGCAGCCGTGGCAGTGGTGGCTCAGGCCAAATGCGCCGCAAGCGCGACGCGACGCGTTGAGTAGGCGCGTGACCGTGAGAGTGTGAACAGATCGCGCGCTCATTGGTCAATGGCGAAAACAGCCTACTTACCGGGCTAGGTCGCTAGATCACCGTTCGCTATTCTATAATGGCCCTCAAAGCTAATCGAAAAAGACCTTCACAGCCGGTGCATGTAGGTTTATTGTCTCACTCATGCTTTGGGTATATACAGATTAGCTTTATATCTGCAGCCACCGTCAAAAAAACGCAAAGTCGGAAATGATGGCGAGCATCGCAAAGAGCAACCGTCCAAGGGCAAAGGAAAGGAGAGGGCAGCAGATAGAGAAGTTATCTCTATACCCTCTCTCGGTGAAGATGTAGACTTGTTAGAAGAAGACCTTGATATGCTCGAGGAATTTGGAGGCGCCGTTACTTTTCTTCGTACTTTGGACGCGAAAGGCATTGCAAGGTGAGCAGAGTTCGCTTTACTATGAAACGTTGCCTAATTTCGTAGGAGCAAAAAGGAGACGGAGCGATTGCACCGCATGCACAAGCCTGTTCGCGTCAGTGCTAAAGACGACCTGCCCTCTGTGGACTCGCATGATGAGAACGACTCTTGGAGTTCTGGTATCGAAGACTTCAGTGACGATGACGAAGCAAACTCTGTAGCGACCTCATCCTCGTCTGTTATCACCTCTTCTCATGCTGCAAGACAAAAGCCGAGATTCAGGCCTGAATCGGACGAGGAGATGCCGTATGAAGCTCTTCCGCGTAAACGAAGGTCGTCCTGGGAACCTGAATCTGATAAAGATAGAGGTATTGAACGCCTTCCAATTAAGTTGGCGGATGGCCGGATCCAGAAGAGCGACATGAAGGTGTTTCTCGGGCACGAGGAAGAAAGCCAGGACAGCGAGAACGATGAATCTGAGGAGGAACAGCCGCCTCACAGGGTAGAAGATGTAGCAACAGGTGCACGCTTTGGGCGACCGGCGGTAGTCGATGTTATTGCTAACAAGTCGCGCAAGGCCCGGATACAAGGCGCGAAAGAACAGATTGCTGGCCTTTGCCAAGAGATTGTATCAGACCCTGAAAATAGCGTATGTGTTTTAGTCCGTACAAATTTGATTTCATGCACTGAAATTGGTGCAGTTGGGTCTTCTGCGGCGTCTGCATACATTTTCATTATCTTCAATTTCGACGCCTTCTCATCCTGAACCAATTTCAAACGACATTCTTATCCGCAAATTGACACTCCTGTCCCAATTGGCGGTATTCAAAGACATCATTCCTGGCTATCGTATACGTGCCCTCACCGATAAGGAAAAAACTGAAAAGGTAAGCCAGATGGTGCAACGCACCAGAGATTGGGAGCAAGGGCTAGTCAGCGTGTATCAGTCCTATCTTCGGGTGCTCGAGGCCGAGGTTAAAGGTACGACTGTCTCCTGCGCGCACACTAGTTTCTCACTGAGATGTCAGCGAAGAGCGAGCTGGCTGAGACGGCACTGCATTGCATGTGTACTCTACTCGTAGAGACGACACATTTCAATTTCCGAACTAACCTCATGGGTTCCATTGTCGCATACCTAAGTCGAAAATCCTGGGATAAGGTAGTAGAAATTTGTCAATTTGGTCCCAAACTCAGCTCATGCTATACGTGTGTAGATGTCCGATTTGTGTTTGGACTCGTTCATTAAGGTTTTCAAAGCTGACAACACTGGCGAGGCCTCACTTGAAATTGTTCGCCTGTTGAATCGCATGATTAAGGAGCGTAAATTCAATGTTCACCCTCATGCATTATCCGGTCTCCTATACCTCCGCCTCAAATCAGAGCTAGGGGTGCGTGCATCCGAAACGAGGGCCGATAAGGAGCAGAGCGGGAAATCTAACGCAAAAAATCGGTCAAATGGTAAGAAAAGCGATCGGCCACACTTGAGCAAGAAAGCAAAGAAGGCTCTGAAGGAACGAAAGGAGATCCAAAAGGAGATGCGCGATGCAGAGGCTGAGGTTGATAAGGAAGAACGAGCTGTCACAGTATGTTCTGTATTCATCCGATGCTCAGCCCACTCTCACGTCTGATTTCCAGCAAACTGAAACTCTGAAATTGCTTTTCGTGTTATACTTTCGGATACTCAAGCACCCACACCCCACACCTCTACTACCAGCGGCGCTTCAAGGCATATCCAAATTTTCTCATCTCGTAAACATCGATTTTTTCAAGGATCTGATGCAGGTGCTAAAAGGCTTACTTTCCCGAGAGCCGGAGCCGACTGAATTGGGCGGGCCGGATCACAATCTGTCAGACACGAGCGGAGCACAGCATGAGCTCTTGTGCATCGTCACTGCCTTCGAGCTTCTCTCCGGGCAAGGTAAATTTCCATGGCATGAGACGACCGATATGATGCTAATACCGCTGACTCACAGGAGAAGCCCTAGACATTGACCTGACAGATTTCATCAACCAGCTCTACGCAATTCTCCCGTCGCTCAGTTTTACCTCCGAGTCAGACACGGCGCCTACTCCGACCGCAGCCGTCCAGTCCGGTGGTCGCGCGGGCAAAACTCAATCTGTAGCGGAGATGCTTTTCCGCGCGCTGCACCTCGTGTTCACTCCACGCGCGTCCTCAG